TGTCTGAATATAAGAAATGAGTCATTTACATATTTGTTTTTTTTTTGCTTCTTGAAAATTCTTGGTTTAAAGAGTCAGAATTATCATAGAGAAAACAAAGGAAACGGAAACGAAATAAGCCTTCCACTAGGCCCTTACTGATGCATAAAATTGGAGGGCAGCACAGGTCAACATAAAATTATTATAATGGCATTTGGCCTAAAAGTTTAACACATTTAAGTGAATTTTGTGTGACAATACGAACTGCAGCCTAAACTTAGATTTCTTTTAATTATCCATGTAATTTTCTCTTCTCTTTTTCTTTTATGATATGTATCTGTTTCATGAACTAGAGCCCTCCCGAGTAAAGAACACAGAGTGAAGTAAAGGAGGCCCTGCAAAGGGGAGAAACACAGTGCCTCCTCCGTAAAGCCCAGACAGTTCCAGCACAGACAGAAGAAGGGGCCAAGTTTCCTCATTCTCAGCTGCTAAAAGACTTGCCCATCCCACTGAAGCTTCTACTAGATGCTATCAGCAAGGGCAGTTGAGAGGATGGACTCCGTAGAGAATCTATGCAATTTTAACTTTTTTTTTTTTTTAATAGGGGAAGCTCCTTAGCATTTAGTTTTACTAGCAGATAAAATAAATAATGATTATCTAATTATGATGGTATTCTGCAGCCATGTTTTTATTTTTTTCAATTCTATACTAAATGAGAGTTGCAATCAAATAAAATGGTTAAGCATATTTATTTATCTTTTAATCAACAAATGCAAATTGTATACATCTATTGTATATACATGTGGTTTTGAAATATGGATACACTGTGAAATGACTAAATTGAGCTAATTAACATATACATTACCTCACATCCTTATCTGTTTTGTATGTTTATAGTGAGAACACTTAAAATCTACTCTTAGTAATTTTCTTTTCTTTTCTTTTTTTTTTTTTTTTTTTTTTTNTTTTTTGAGATGGAGTCTCGCTCTGTCACCCAGGCTGGAGTGCAGTGGTGCGATCTTGGCTCACTGCAACCTCCGCCTCCTGGGCTCAAGCAATTCTCCTGTCTTAGCCTCCCGAGTATCTGGGATTACAGGTGCCCGCCACCATGCTCAGTTAAGTTTTGTATTTTTAGTAGAGGTGGGGTTTCACCATATTGGTCAAGCTGGTCTCAAACTCCTGACCTCAGATGATCCACCCACCTTGGCCTCCCAAAGTACTGAGATTACAGGTGTAAGCCAGCGCATCCAGCCAACAATTTTCAAGGATAGAGTCAATACAAATAGGTTCTGACTTTTAGATTACTTAACTGAACCCTGTTCAGCCTCCACAATGAGGCATGCTTTAGTAATCATTATTTAGCATAGAAAAAGTTTGTCCAGAATATAAATCATAGCTAAGCTTTAAAAACAAATCTACAGATGATTGGAGATACCTGTCTATAATATCCATTCAAGCAAATCAATCCCTTCTAAATCCTCTTGTGAGATTATCAGATGGGTCCAGGCTTGTTCAATCTGTTTGGGCTCAAGTTAAGACACTATTCAATAATAATTACTTGGATTTATAATGTACTTGCTCAACGAGCTTCCCTGCAACAATGGGAAGCATCTGTTTGATCTGCACACAATTAAGTCGGGCATTATAAATAAGTTTTTTACAAATGGGAAAATTGAAATGCAGAGCTCTTAAGCAGCCTGGTCAATCTGTAGATTAATGATGATCAGAAAACTTGCCCTGAGTACTGTCCATATTTTATTAGGGTCTGTGACATCCTCTCACTGAGATTCAGCCAAGCAGAGACCCTACCTTCTGACAGGTGAATACACAAAGCTGTGGTTCGTGTCCAACTACCTTTGCCTTTCTTGCTAAAACTAATGCATGTTAAGTTGAAAACATTTTGTGTCAACATATTTGTCAAAAATTATTTTCCCCCCAATATAAACAGTATACAGTAAGAAGTGAGACTCCTGCTGGCCGGACGTGGTGACTCACACCTGTAATCCTAGCACTCTGGGAGGCCGAGGTGGGCGGATCACCTGAGGTCATGAGTTCAAGACCAGCCTGGCCATCATGGTGAAACACCATCTTAAAAAAAAAAAAAAAAAAAAAAAGCGAGGCTCTAGAGACTCACATTCCATGGGGTAACCATGGCCAACAGGTTAGAATATATCATTCCAGCCTTTCATCTATGTCCATATAAATATGTAATTTTTAACAGAAATGAGATGATTTTATAGTTAGAGTTCTAGAACTCTCTTTTCTATTGCTCAATTGGAAATTAGAAAGGAACAGTCTATTTAATATGAGAAGTGGTGAATCAAAGAGGAAAATACATTAAAAGGATATTCCAGATTATAGAAGTAAAGAAAGGCCAAAAATAAGTCATTATTCTACATGGATTCAAATTTTCCTTCTGAGTAACATTTGGCTTACTTTCTCTTGGGTTAAAAGAAATAAAACATTAAAACTTACTAGGTACAAAAATAAAAGCCAAACATCAAACCATACTATATCCAACCTTAAATTATGGCCCTTTTGTTTTCTATAAGTAGCATTTTTTAGTCTATAAAGTTATCAAAATGGAAAGACAATTTAGACAGGATATTCTATTTACAGAAATACAATCAATTTGGTATTTAAAGCCTCCCTCATTCTGGGGTATCCAGCCAAAGTCTAAAAGACTTGTGCGTGGTCAAAACAGCCACACTTTCTTATTTGAACCTAATGCATTCTTTAACCAAAATTTTAAAGGTGTTTAGGTTTAAGAACTCCTGAGAATATATCAATCTAAAATTTCCAATTTCAAGTTGCTTTAAAGATTCATGAAAAAGAAACAATATAATATTTTTAAAGTCCAGAAAATAAAGATTATATTTCTGTGGTATTATTTCTAAGAATGAAGCAGTTAAAGTGCCCCCATTTCTGATTATCTTATCATTGCTTGGAGTTACAATCAAAGATATAACAACTCAAAGAAAAGGAAGATTTTTAACATCTCCTATGATAATGTTGGGCTATGTGTTCATGAGATTAAAAAAAATAAAATGACTTCGTTTTATCTATTTTTTTTTCGTTGATCTGTCCTTGTTTAGGGATTGTCATAGAAAACTTAAGTTTACTAGAAAGAGTGACATTTATTTTCTGAAACCCGTAAATGAAATGAAGTTGTTAAAGAAAGAGTCAGATTCTTAGTGCTGACATGCCCAGATTTACAATTCACTCTTTCATCGCAGAGTGACAAGCAAGCCTTGCTCACCCTCTTATATTAACTTTTAAAAATGGGACTGTCAACTGTATTTACCAACCCTGTCATTTCTTAGCATAATTATAGCCTACATCCTGAATAGAAAGTTGTTCTTAACCTATGCATAAAACACAACTAAAAGAGTATTACTTCTCCTCCCTTTCTCCACCCATCTGGTAGCCAGCGGGGATTTACTTTGTTACTTCATATATTATAATTGTGTAATTTTTTCATAAATTACCTTAGCTCAAGTGATTCCATTTAAATAATGTTTGATGTGCAATGTAATATTTCTAAATGGCTTATGAGCTCTTTAACAGACAAGCCTTATAATGTACTTAGTGATTTTTATTAATAGAATCCTGTATGTTCAAACACTCAAGGGCAAGTCATTTCTTCCATGATTGCCACTCATTTGATAAATTTAAATGATGACACAATATGGGAAGGAACACAAACATACGGCTCAACAAGAGAAACTGTTCGAGCTGAAACTAGAACTAAATGTGGTCAAGACCAATTTTCTCAAGCCATTCACAAAACGAGTTACTAGTTTTAAGAATGGTAAGAATGGTAAGACTACAATTTTTATTTTTTTCATACAGTTATTTTGTACAGTTAGCATGGTTTTTGTTTTCTAAGTGGAATAATAGCATAGAAATTAAAAAATACTACCAAACTTTAAATACTTATATTAAAAATAAAAAGTAATAATTCACTTTATTGTAAATAATCCATGTTAAAGATTTGGCTTTGATGTAATTTGCTTGGGTGAAATACATTCATTTGGATAAAGAATTTCATTTATTTGTTTTCGCTTTGATATTCTAATAATTCAGACAAAATAATTAAGTCATCTCAGTTTGAGCTAAACAAATAGCTGTAAAATGTCTTCATCTTTAGTTTCTTCCTAGGATCCTCAAATATTCTAGGAATAATTTTCCAAACCAATGGGAAGCACTACTGTAAATAAAGCAATTCACTCTTTAAAACTTTGGTAAGCTTCCATCCTCACCCTAACTCTGGGACATCGCCTTTTGAGATCTGCCACTCCACCCCCTACAACATTTTAATGAGTCTATCCCTTTGATCACTAGACTTTCCTGAAGGAAGCTAATGCCAATAGGCCTTAGGTTATGAGCAATATGATTTAACTTGATTTTAAAGCAAAGAACTATGCATTGTTTCTGCAAAGACCCATCTGTTAAAGCCCAGCTACTCTACAGGTGCCATGTCTATACTGAGCCCATTAAAAGGAGCAGGTCTGTGGCTGTCTCCTAAGATAATAAGATATTGGACAATGGTATGTGCTATTGCTATATCTGCTGACACCCTAGCAAAACTGTTGTCTTCTGACGTGATGAGGCTCACCCAAGATGCATAGGGCCCCTGAGCTGCTGGGAAACACACTACCATCACTCCATCTTGCTTAGAGCTGAGAACTATAATTTTCTGTCTCCCTAGGAAGTAGGTCCTCCATTTTCTAAATCTGGGTTTAGGGAGAGTGGAGGGAGCATTAAAGTTTGTTTTTCATTTTACTCATACATACTTTAGTAAACATCTGAGTTCTCTGAAGATTGACTGGTTAGACGAAAATAACCTGCTTCGACTTTCACGTCCGAAACTAAAAAGTTAGCCGTTAGCAAAACTAAACTGGGCTGACTTTTATCTTTGATAAAATCTCTATGTATCACGTTTGGAAAACAGGTATATTTTATTCTTAATGGAGCAAACATTATCTTGAAAACAACAGAAATGCTTTTCCCGCCATCTAGGCTCCTGTGGAGGCCTGCTGAGAACGGGACTTCTGAAAGGAGCTATGTCTGGAATGCTGTGGTCCAAGGCTATTTTTGCTGACTATAAGCGGGGTCTCCAGAACCAAAAGGAGCACACAGCTCTTCTTAAAATTGAAGGTGTTTACGCCCACCATGAAACAGAATTCTACTTGGGCAAGAGATGTGCTTATGTACACAAAGCAACGAACAACACAGTGACTCCTGGCGGCAAACCAAACAAAACCAGAGTAATCTGGGCAAGGTAACTGGGGCACGAAAACAGTAGCATGGTTTGTGCCAAATTCCGAAGCATCATTCCTGCTAAGGCTATTGGACACAGAATCTGAGTGATGCTATACCCCCCAAGAATTTAAACTAGTGAAAAGTCAATAAATAAACGTGGATTTGTGCCCTTGTATTTTTGTTAAGTGGATTAAAAAACTTACTACCTAAAAAATAAATACATAAATAAATAGAATGGTGAATTTTTAAAAGATGGCTTGTGATATTCTTAGGAATTAAAAATAAAAATATAAACATAAAAGGCCCAAACATGTAGCACTTTAATACTTAAGAAGAACTTCTTGGGGAAAAGCTTATCCTGGAAGCAGCATTCCAAAACCACTACTAGCAACACTTAAATAAATCATTTTAAAAGATGTCCTGCATTAAATATTGCCCAGATGGTGACACTGGTAGATTTTTTTCAGGAAAACTATTTTTCATCTTGCAATGTCATCTTCCATGTTTGGGGATGCATTCCAAGCATTCTTAGTCTCTTCTAACAGTTTTCTCATAATTATTAGGCGCATTAAAAGCAGCAGTGATTTTTATAAAATACTAAGACTTCTCTTTTGGAGGAAAAGACAAAATGAGTTACAGTTGTCAGATGTAAAGTCATAAAGTATATACAATTATAAAGTTTTTTTAAAAGACAATACTACATTAGTTAATAAACATATACTCAATTGGCAGTATTTACAAAAATATAAAAATTTGTCTTTTATATCAATGCATATATATTACTTTGTCTAAAACAACTTTCTCTCTTTAAAAATAAGTGGCAACATTAATTTCTAAAGATTTAACATGATGCCAACAAAAATTTTAGGAGAATCATTTTAGCTTTTGCTTATTACAGTAAAAGTATTTTAGGGGAACCTCCTAGATAATTCATTAATAGCAATAATATATTTAGACCATAGCATCCTGGCTAACACAGTGAAACCCCACCTTTACTAAAACTACAAAAAAAATTAGCTGGGCATGGTGGCGTACACCTGTAGTCCCAGCTACTCTGGAGGCTGAGGCAGGAAAATCACTAAACCCAGGAGGTAGAGGTTGCAGTGAGCCAAGATCACGCCACTGCACTCCACCCTCGGCAACAGAGTGAGACTCCATCTCCAAAAAAAAAAAAAAAAAAAAAAAATCCTATTTGAATATTCAAGGCTGCCAAATGTTTAGAAGTTGAAAAATATGTTAGCAATTATTTTCCACAAAATTTTTACATTGTTTTGGATCTGTCTTAGACTTCTTGTTTTTGTTTGATGATTGTTTTATTGTTTATAATATTTTAGCCTCAATATTATTTTAATAGAGTCAAACTAAGAAAAAATATTTTTCCTCCTATGTTTACATATCTTAATTACAAATCTTACATTAAATATAATTTAAAGATGATGGTGAAAGGGTAAAACATCTTAGGAAGAATAAGTTGGGTTTCTTTGGAGATTGATTATACAGCATGGTGAATATAGTTAGTTAATAATGGTGTATTGCACACTTCAAAATTTCTAAGACAGTACATTTCAAATGTTCTAATCACAAAAAATTATAAGTATTTGTGGTGATATTAGCTTTAATTATTTCACATTGTATTAGTGAATTATAACTAATCATACCCCATAAATATATAAAACTATAGTCAATTTATGATGAAATATTAATATGCTATTTAAAAGTATTCAAAACCTACCTTTACCTTTTACTTGAAATAACTTATTTAGAAATCGTTATATTATATGAGTTATAATCGAGACAATTGGTCCAAGGCCTGGAATCAAATCCAGAAAAAATAAGACCCAAATGTATTCAAATAGAATATAATACAAACACTTTTAACAAAAACAGAAGCAAAAATACTTAGGATAAAAACAAGGATCATCCACCTATTTTTATTTATTTATAAAAGTTATATATAATAGATGTACATATGTATAAAGCACTTATGGTATTCTGATACATTTATATAATGTATAATGATGAAATCACAGTACTTGGGATATCCATCACCCAAAACATTTTCGTTTTATGCTGGAAATACTTGAATTATTCTTTTCTAGCTGTTTGAAATACATAATAGATTACTGCTTACCATAGCCACCCTATAGTTATGTATTGAATATTAGTCTTATATTCTTCTATTGCACTGTAATTTTGTACCCAATAAACAACCTCCCTTCACCTCTCCACCTCAATTCCTTTGGGCCTCTGGTAACCACCAATCTATTTTCTATCTTCATGAGAAGAATCATTCATTTTTTACATTGCTTCTTCATGTCTACCATTCTTACTCAATTAACCAATACTTCAGGTAGTATTTATTTACCATATGTCCTCCTAAACCCTAATCTAGACCCTGTTACTTGGGGTAATTTAAGAAATTAGGGGGCCGGGCGCGGTGGCTCAAGCCTGTAATCCCAGCACTTTGGGAGGCCGAGGCGGGTGGATCACGAGGTCAAGAGATCAAGACCATCCTGGTCAACATGGTGAAACCCCGTCTCTACTAAAAAACTACAAAAAATTAGCTGGGCATGGTGGCGCATGCCTGTAATCCCAGCTACTCAGGAGGCTGAGGCAGGAGAATTGCCTGAACCCAGGAGGCGGAGGTTGCGGTGAGCCGAGATCGCGCCATTGCACTCCAGCCTGGGTAACAAGAGCGAAACTCCGTCTCAAAAAAAAAAAAAAGTAAATAGGGTTTGCTGATGTTTACTAAATTAGGTATAACTTGTTTACATAGCAAAACAAAAAAGGAAATAATCCATTTAAATAATTCAAAATGGAGTCACATTATGAATAATTTTTGCTTTTATGTGTTTTTTTAGGATTTAAAATATCAAAAGTAGTATTTCATAGATGTATGAGTCATTACGATAAGTAAGTAAACTAAGAACAGGTCTTTCTGTATAAATTACACAGGTCTACGTCATACACATCTGTCTAGTACTCCACAGTAGAGATATGTCTTAATTTGTTCACTCTTTCTGCTCTCATGAACATCTTGATTATTTTCCGTGTTCTAAGTTAACTTATTGCATTGAAGTGGTATAGTGCAAATGGATAATAAAAAATTAAAATCATGACTTCAATGGTAATCGAACAAAAGCAAATCAAAGTAATGAAACATGATTTTTAAAAACTTGTTGAATTGGTAAAGATTTTCAATATGACAATCATCAATCCTGGGTAGTATATAGTTGGGTAATCATTTATATGACAAATGAATGTAACCTGTCTAGGAAATATTTAGGCAGTGTGTATCACAAATATCAAAAGTGTTTTTTTTTTTTCTTTTTTTTTGAGACAGAGTCTCACTGTCGCCCAGGCTGGAGTGCAGTGGTGGTGTGATCTCAGCTCACTGTGACCTCGGCTTCCTGGGTTCAAGTAATTCTCCTGCCTCAGCCTTCTAAGTAGCTAGGATTACAGGCACATGTCAACTCATCTGACTAAGTTTTTGTACTTTTAATAGAGATGGGGCTTCGCCATGTTGGCCAGGCTTGTCTCGAACTCTTGACTGCGTGATCCTCTCACCTTATCCTCTCAAAGTGCTGTGATTACAGGCTTGAGCCACTGTGACCAACCTAAAAGTTTCTTTTTTTCCACTCAGTAATTGCATATCAGGAATTCTATAGCACAGAAGTAATAAAAATACAAATAAAAACATGTCTATCTGTCTATTCATCTATTTGTCATGGCTTATAGAAGCTTAAATACCCCAAAATTAGGAAGTTCTTAATAAAAAACTTATTCAATGGATTATTAAGCAGATTAAGTATCATGATCAGCAGGAATCATCACTAAAATGAGGAAATACTCAAATATAATTTTAAGAGTAAACTGGATGCATAACTCCATACATACAATATGAATTTTTTGGAGAATAAAACCGTCCTAAATGGACTACAGTAATTTTTTTAAGTGGATATTTCTGAGAGGAATAAAAGAATGACTTTTTATGTTCTTCTTTGTACTTGAACGTATTTTCTAAATTTTCTACAATGAACATTTACTACTTTTGAAGTAGCAATTAAAAAGAAGAAAGAAAATGCATCCTTATCTACAAAATTCAACATGCTTCTGCACTTCGTCTATTAAGTAAAATTGGTCAGGTTCATGGTAAAGCCCTTGTAACCTGATTTTATCTTATCACCCCAAGCTTATTGCTAGTAAGTACCCAACTCTAATGCGCAACTCCTTCCCAGATGGTTACTAGGCATGTCATGGTTCACCCAAACTCCACTCATATTCTTCCACTCAGGGCTAGAACTTTCTCTCCTAGGGTTTCTGATGATGATTTTTGGTTGTAACTATTTCAAGCCAGCTTCGGATGTTCCTAATGTTCTAAGCAAAGTCTGGTAACGTGACAAAATCATTTTATACTCTAACTCCAATACATTAACCACAGTAATTCAGAAGAATGCCCCTCTGACAGCAAGAATCCCATCAGTATTTGTTAAGTGAACAAAAAAAATCATTAGCATGATCATAACAACAACATTTATTGAGAGTTTTCTGTTTAGAAAGAGACTCTGTGACAAGTGCTTCACACTATCTTCATCTCATTAACAGCCAGAACAGCCCCCCCAATTCACCATTGAAAAAAACAGAGCTATGCTATTTCTTGAAGGTATACAGACAGCTTGGGCCTGAGCTTCAAATCCAGCTTGGGTGGATGCCAATAAGCTCTACACTACCAAATTTGTTTATGGAAAGCCCACAAGATACCATTTTGTATCTAATATATCAATTAATCCAACCATCTAGTTAAGTTGACAAAGTGTGTCATGCTCCAAAGCTTCCTTTTATGTATAAAAATAGACACAAAACAATAAAGTTTCTGCTAGATCTCATTATACAAGTAATAAGTTTACCTGTATAGGACCAGCCAATCTCTTCAACAAGTTTTCTCTGTTGTCTGTAGTATCCATTAGCCAAATCTATAAAAAAAAAAAAAAAAAAAAAAAAAAAAACCAAGTAATTAGTATGTAGAAAATATGTGTCCAAAAATAAAAGATGCCAAAATCATTTATACCATATATAGTTCTTGATTACTCCTTTCCATGTTATCTTCTCAACGTGTTCCTTCAACATCAACCTCCACCATTATATGATACACTCCAATGCCCTTGTTCTGGTAGCTAGCGTAAATTTTAGAGCGTGTGCTTAAAGGATGATGA